TAACACCCACATTTAAAAGACGTAACGGCCCACAGAGCGGGGACACTAGTTACAGTTGAAAATCACCTACACCTGAGTAGAGTAGAACCGAGTGGAGTAGAACCGAGTAGAGTAGAACCGAGTGTAGCCGCACCGTGTAATGGAAAAACGGCTTCTGGCACTTTCGGTTCCTCCCCCCACCACCACCCCCTTCCCTCGAGTTGTACAGGAAGTGACTTTACCCCCCGCTGGGCAGCGGAGCGTACGCAGGATGCCTGGCAAGCATCCAACAGGAAAAGGAAGTGCCCTTACATGTTGTCCCCAGAGATGCAAAGGGAGTGACACATGCATGATGGGGTGTCAGAGTGAGACACGGGGAGGTTTGAAGGGTCAGACTTTCAGGATGAGAAACCTTCAAAGAATTCATGGCACGTGTCTGAACCTGGATCAGACGACGTTGCGTAAGAGTGGCTGCGGTGGAGCGGAGCCACAAACTAATGAGACTTTATGGACCAAACACTGATAGTAAACCATGACAGAAGAGATGAATCACTCCGATTACAGGAGGCCAATAAAATTTATGAAATACGAAGATATGAAGTTATGATTGAATGGTTTTTTCAGCTGTGGCTCTAGAGGAAACAGCAAATGCTTTTAATGAAGGAAGGACATTATGACATGATACAAAGTTCAAATAAGTTGATTTTGCTTACCCCCCCCCCCCCCCCMCACACACACACACACACCTAATTAATTTGTATCTCTATCAAACTAGACTGGACCACTCTGAAAGCTGTACACTGCAAAAAAAAGTCCATTTTACCAAGTTTTAAAATCTTGTTTCCAGCCAAAAAGTCTTTTTGATCTTGTTTTGAGACTGATTTACTAAACAAGAACTGATTGTGTAAGAATAATAATCCTGTTTTCAGAATGTGTAAGATTATTTGTCTTGTTATTATTATTATTTGACTCATCCATCCATTTTCTGTACACGCTACTTCCTTTTTCGGGTTGCATGGATCACTGGTGCCCATTTCCAGCAGTCACAGTGCGAGGGGCGGGGTACACCCTGGACAGGTCGCAAGTCCATCACAGGGCCACACATAGAGACAAACGAGACAAACAACCACTCGCTCTCTCACTCACACCTAGGGACAATTTAGAGTTGTCAATTAACCTGACAGTCATGTTTTTGGTTTGTGGGAAGAAGCCGGAGTACCTGGAGAGAACCCACGCATGCACGGAGAGAACATGCAAACTCTACCCAGAAAGGTCCCCGGACCGGGATTTGAACCGGTGACCTTGCTGAGAGGCATCAGCTCTACCAACTGAGCCACCGTGCCGTGAAAATTTGACCCAAGTGAAAAAAATCTGCCAGTGGGGTAAGAAATTTTTACTTGGTAAGATTCTTAAAATACTTGATTTGACTCAATTTTTTCTTATTTCAGGAATCTTACCAAGTAAAACTTTCTTAATCCATTGGCAGAAAGTTTTCACTTAATTTGAGTCAAATTTTCAGACTAACAAGACAAATAATCTTACACATTCTGAAAACAAGATTATTATTCTTACACAATCAGTTCTTGTTTAGTAAATCAGTCTCAAAACAAGATCAAAAAGACTTTTTGGCTGATGTAAGATCTTAAAACTTGGACAGTTTTTGCAGTGTAGTGGGGTGTGGTGTGAAGTGCCTCTTCTGGATTTAAAAAGAGACAGCACCAAAACGAGTTGATCTGAATCACCTCAGTAAAGGGGTGAAAGAGGAGCTGGACTTGTAAGGAAGCATTCAGACCAAYGCATTGCAGCTTCATTTTATGTAAACCCCAACTGAATGGTTTAGGTGTAWAATAAAGGATTTTCAAAGCATGATGCGTCCCCTTTAACCTCCCGTTCAGGAGAAATCAGACGGATTGGTTGCAAGACAGTGTCCTGCCTCCTGAAGTCGTCTCTCCACCGATTAATACCTCATAAAAAGTAGATAGAGGGATTGAGCTGTCAGATTCCAAGGCAGTGTTTTACATTAGATAAAAGCGATCAGCACTTTATCAGGCTGCTGCCCACCACCAGAAAATAACTGTGAACGACAAAGATTTTAATCTAATCTCTGGTGTCTGACTGTCCCAGCCGTCTTCTGTCTGTAAATGACTAATCTACATTCCTTCATGACAAACATGTGGATTCTTTCTCAGAGACAGACACCCCTCACTCGGCAGAGATGAATGTTCAGATACTTCTTATCAGATTCCTCCAAAGGCTTCCCGTTTTGGGAGCTGCACGGTTTCCTGAGGACATAACTCTGAAGGTCAGCTGATGGTCGGGGCTAGCAGCGTACCGTACTATGYGGAAACGGTCCAATTGAATTTCTTGTTTTGGCGTGAGCGTTTTATAGCACAGAGTTCTGTGCGTTTGAGTTGAGCTGACATGTTTACACCACCTCGWTTCCTTATCGCTCGTCTCATCCCCCTTGTCTTTTTTTTACATTCCTGGCATTCTCCCGCAAACTGATGACACATGTTTGTAAGATTGCTCTGTGTATTGTACACCTCCCGGTTGTTAAACAGTTCAAGGGGGAGAAAAAAAACACGTCTGGKGTTTCAGATTTTGAAACACTTTTTTATGGATATGTATTCAGCATGGGATGTTTATCTTTTCATCAAGCATCCCTGTAGCAATGGGTGTTTTCCCACAGAGCCTCTCAGCCCAGCTGCGCGAGCATGGGAAATCACACATATTTTAACAGGAAGCTCTGCTGACACACACGCCAGCGAGGCAGGAAGCTTTGCCCGACTCGGGCCCGATGCTTCATTCAGAAATCTCGACCAGAAACCACACGGAAAGCAGATGAATCTCCACATGACACTGAACGAGATAAAACTCATGTTCCCACAGGAAATGAAAAAGGTTACAGTTCACGTGGGAGTTGAGTTTAATTTGGGATTTGTTTGCTYGATATAAAGGGTTAACAAAATAGGAAGTGGATCATAATGTGATTTCAAATAAACCCTCATCGTCAGAGGGGGAGACTGTACAGGAGGGGAAAAACATCCTGGAAAGATGCTTGTTAGCTCAGCTTTTTCAGGTTCTGTTCCACACAAAGAGACACGAAAAACGGGGCAAATGTTTAAGGTGACCCTGAAGATAAAACCRATTTTTTACAGCACACTGAGAGAAGTTGATCATAACAATAAAAAAGGTTTCTACCACAAGGGGACCTTTCAAAGTTATTGCACATTCAGAAACTTTTCAGCAATTTCATTTTGACTACAGTGTGACCCCGCAATAAAAGAGATCAGAAAGGACGGTCTCTGCTTGCCATGAAGAAATATCAGTCTGAAACTTATGAAGCCACAATTTTTCAACAAAAAAAATGTTTAAACGGTGACATTACAAAATGTTRCACAGGAGTCCAATTTTCCCGTGAAGCCGAGAGCGTAGAGGAAACGTCAGAGACTCGTCTGCCCAGACTTGTCCTCCTCGTTATCCGCTGAGCTGCGTGATGAAGGATTTAGTGTGTACAGTATGTGTGACTGAGTCAGTTTACATGAGYAACATCTGTCTGCTGCTGACAGGTTTTGTGTGCGACAGCGAAATGGGAAGATATTTTTCATGACAGATTCCCAAAAAAATGTGACAGGCGGGAAGCGGACAGGAGGGTTTGCTGCTGCATCATCATCATCATCGCCGTGACTTTTGGCCTCCAGTCATCCTGTCTGTGTTATCTGCGGGCTGTGTGGCAGCAGCGTGCCTCTAATTTATGCACATTCCAAGAAAGCTGCGTTTCCTTATCATTGCATTGCAACAGTCAGCTTGTTTTCCAAACGCTTTTTTTGTCTTCATGCCAGACGCTCAGATTATCTACAGTGGAGCTAAATTATTGTTTGATCTTTTGGAAATTGGTGTGCACACTGCCTGTTCTCCCCACGGTACTTCAAAACCACTTCAGCTGCAGTCAGAAGTAAGGAGTAGCCTACTGAGGCTTTATGATGTCTTTGTTTTTCCACTCCACAGTCATAAAATCTTTATAGCCTTAAAGATAAAGGCATGAGTCAAAAATAATCCCAAATGAGACAATAAGACAAGAAGAGACGTTTTAAAGAAATGCTCAAGAACCCAAAAGGTAATCAAAGAACATTGTAGCTCAATTTTTATTTGGTATTCATTCTTTTATCTTCTCTAAAGTTAATATTTTCAGAACATGACTGAAGATAAACAGCAACATAATCAGAAGAAAACACATTTTTATTGTTTATGATGCATCGTTAATCAAATCTGCCAATGAAAAGAACAGAACATGTTTATTTTCTTTATCAAAATATGTAAATGCTGTTTGAGTTCTAATGTCCAAAAATAGTCAAAAAAGGGGGGAAGGTTGTCAATAAAAACTTTGGAAGATTATGTCTAAGGATTAAAATGTAGAGCGTAGTATTTAAATGTCTTATCAGACGAAGAAAAAAAAAGTGGCACATGTAGTATTACCTAACTCCTTTCAATTACACGCATCATAGAGTTTTACTGCTGATAAAAAGGGGTCAAAAGGGCAGCCACAGTTAACATCAAAGACAAATATTTTCAAAGTTTGAGCCAATCTTTTAAATCAACTCCCAGAAACATGAAATTGTTTTTGTCTTTTTAACAAGGCAAAGTTTATTTGCCTGAAAAATATTCTCAGGTTTAAAAAGATTAGGCAAGAACCGTTTGAAGCTGGGTTTTTGAAAAGTTATAAGATATAAATACATCACCTAAATAACTTACAATGATGTCATCACTTTTTAGTTGTTAAAAGAAGACAAACTGAGATCTTAATTATTTAGACTAAAAGAAAAACTGAAAATTAACATTTTTTGGGGCTAATTGGGTTCAAACTCAATTTGTTATTTTTTGTAACTCTTGATGAAGACAAAATGATAAAATGATGGTTCACAAGATGACAAATGGAAGTTTTATTTATTATGTCATGATCATATTGTTTATCTCATAAAAAAATCATTGAAAAAAGAAAGTTTCAGACATAACATAACGTGAGTTCCCCTCATTTCCTATCTGAAAAGAACAATACAATAATTATCTCCAGGAATAAACATTTTTAAACCAATGTTTAAAAAAAGCATTACAAACAATCCGAGCGAGCCAAATGTTTTCTGATGTCTGTGTATCTGTTGGCCTCTCTTCCATTTCCGGGGTCATCACATCTTCCTTCCACAGCTCCAAACCTTGTGTGACCACTCCTGCCCGGGATGCTCATCCTGTTTCCTCCTCCATGTGAACAGGAAAGGGCTGGAGTCCACGGACACAGCACACAGCAGGGGAGGGGAGCCGGCAGGAAGTGATCTCACTGCAGCACCTGCAACCAGGAAATAGACCAGGCCCGGCCGTGAGCTGGAGAAACGGGCCGTGCTCGTTCACACACACACATACACAAACATGTCGCACACGAGCGCTGAACCCGCAGACACCCTCCGACTTCCCCTGCAGCTGTTGGCATCGGAGCCGCAGCACATGAAGCAGAGTGTTCACACACTTTTCGCTCTGTTTAACCTGCACACACACAAACGAACCTAACGAATGTTTGTAGGCTGAAAAGGAGGAAACAAGCTATGTTGGCTCTGGTTAGTCCATGAATTCGCTATTTTGCTCAAGGTTAGACTGAGTTAGCTGAATGTCTTCTTCATTAAAACTCAAATTCCATTAGAGACTTGGAGGAAGCGTTCAGGGACAATGAGTTTATGGGTATAATTGTGTCTTGTGCTGGAGGGATCTTCCCCCAAATGCTGCTGATAGTCTTAAAAGTTTGAAATTTCATTAKCTGTTTAGGAAATGCATTCCAAGGTCTTATTGATTGAGCAGACAGCAGGATAATTAGAGTTAACGAAGAGTGGCGTCCCATCTCCGAAGCTCCACTTTAGGATAAAAACAAAGTTCTCTCCTCTCTGACTACAGTCTGCATTTTTCCTTTTAAAATCTTTTTGAAATCTTAGCTCTAACCTGGCAAAACAATCTGTCAAGATAAAGCAATTTTCTGGCTCTTATGCTGCGCGACTTTTCATTTAATGCAGCTTGTAGAAGAGCACAGGACAGAGCCTCAGGGTCCTTCCAGACCAAAAGCAACAACCACTGATAATTTTATTTTTATGGTTTCTTGCTGCATTGAGCAAATGTGAACTAAACTTTGATAACAAAATATTATAACATGGACTTAAGACAGACACAACGAGCAAACAGAGGAACAGCTTGTGAGTGTCAAAATCCCCTAAATTGTAAAATTTGTGTTTTAATCAACACCTCAAGGGAAGAAGTCTTATGTTGGACACAAATTTGAATTTTACATTTGAGATGCAAAGCAAATACAATGTACAAACCTGTTAAACTTCTTCAAACAAGTCACCTGGAACTATTAGCTGTGGAAACTATATTTCATATGCTGCACTTAACAGATATGTCTTACTTAAAGTGGATATTTGATGCAAAATAAACTTTTTCAGCCATTGAATGCTTTTTGTTGTGGAGTCTGTAGAGCAGAAAATGTTAATTTAGTTCCTCCCAGTGCTGCATAGGCATCTTGGTAATGCTTTCTTTTATGGTACCCTTATTACCATGTAATTACGTGGTAATAAAAGTAATTAAATGTAATTACTACTTTATTACCATGTAATTATGTGGTAATAAAAGTAATTAAATGTAATTACTACTTTATTACCATGTAATTACATAGTAATTAGGGTACAAAAGAAAAACTACTGTTAGTAAATCTACCTTTATTGAGTAACTACAATCAAATTACTATTCAATAGTAACTCAACACTATTTATAACCAAAAGAATGCAACTAAATTTTGGGGTTAATGGTTAATTGCAATAAAATGTAACTTTAAAACTGTCCAAAGTACCTACTACTTATTTAGGTGTTACATAGTGAATTGTAATACATTACCGGGTAAGGGCTACATTACTGCAGACAATTAATTAATAGTAAAAGTGTATCCTAATAAGTTAGTAATTACATTTAATTACATTTATTACCTTGTAATTATATGGTAATAAGGGTACCGTAAAATAAAGCGTTACCGGTGTCAATTTCTAGTGTTTGTGTGAGGTGTGTGGCAGAATAACCCAGGGCGCAGGCAAAATCCAAAAATGTAACCAAAGCTGTATCAAATCAACAAAAAAAGGCTGTTGTGACAGCAAAATTTGTCTCCGGAGGAACAGGCTCAAGGAAMACAGAAGAYACCMCGCTGGCTGGTAACAGCACAATGAYCAGACAAACGCCAAAGACRGGACACAGAACACAAAGAGAGAACTCAACGAGACAACAAGAAACACCTGGAGGAGACATGATCAGGAGAGCAGGGGCGGGGCAGGAAGAACAACAGAGGACACTGGGAAACACAGAAACACTGGAGAACTAAAGCAGAAAAGATACAGACTGTGACAGTTTGGGTCATATTTGTCAACCCCTTCAGTTTCCTCTATTTTCCATGATGTTTTCTGAACTATTACATCACAGTATTTGCAGTGGAACTGCCAGATAAGGCCTGGACAACTACAGTTTGGTGGTCTTCATTGTCCTCTGGCTCTGGGTCAGACTCTGGCTCCAACATGTACGGCTGGATGGACAAGTCTTCTGTTGTTGACATCTTTTAATTAATTTAAACAATGTTTCTGCASCGCTTTTATAGTCATAAACCCCTCTATCAAGGTACAGTGGACCGCTTTGATAGCTGGGTGGGGGCAGGGTGTATATAACACGTCTGGATTTAAAGAGACAGCCTCAAAATGAGTCGATCTTGGACACGCCTCAGAAAAGGGATGAAAGAGGGGCTTGTGGAGCTACAACAAGGATGAATTCAGACTAAAGCATTGCAGTTCTGCTTTATATAGACCCCATCGGAGGGATTTAAAGGTGAAAACGTTGGTTACAAACTGGGTGCTTAACATTCGCCAATAATTTTGTCAGTTCTAAGTTTGAAAATCTTTTTCTACTTTGCGCTGTATGAGTGTCGAGTGTTTTCTGCTTTCAGCCTGAAAGGGCCATAAAAACAGTGTGCTTCCCCCTGACTGGTTCTTGATCAGCCTTGTGCCACCTCATTTGAAACAGTCACGCTCCAACAATGGGCTGTTTAGATTGCTGAGGTCGGGCGGAGGCCTCTGCAGTCACACGGCTAATTCAGAATTACCAGAGAGGAGCCTCTGTCATGAGGTCATCTGGATTCTTTACACTTAACACAAAGTGCATTAAAAAAACCCTCCAATATGCACACAGAGGCTTTTGCAAAAATAAATGAGCGGTTTATTTTTTCATTTTTGCTTGCATGCTTTGGTCACTTTCAGTCTAAATACTGGCGCATAGGAGATTTGTATGTATGTTTTATGTCTATGTCTGTATGCATGTGTTTACATTTTTCTGTGTGCATGACTAAATTATAAATAAACCATAAAACTAGCATATAGTTTTACGTTCTGGTACACTTGATGCATATTTTCTTATGTTGTTTGAGTCTGCTCCAAACGAGCAACCGTGGCTTCAATAATGAGAATGCGCTCTAACAGATAGACCTCTTCAGTTCATCCATTAGCCATTCAATGAGTGTGTCGTGTGAGCCGTGCAACAGTGCTGTGAACACACTCCGAATATAAATTGACGGCATTCGCAACAAACTACTGTACTTCGCAGCACTGAATCAGGCTGAGAAAGTGAGAGGGAGATGTGGGTTATAGGCAGACAGTGCAGCCCACTGACATACATTCTCCAGATGGAAAGTAAAAAAAATAAAAAATAAATAAATGGAGATTTACTCCTTTTCTCTCCTCCACCTCCCCCACCCTTTAATCAGACTTAGTACAGCCAGCTCATTCCAAAATGTGAGTGAAGCGTTTTGTATTCCGCGCAGGCACAAGCTTCATTTCTCTCGAATGTTTGTTGAGGAGTCGCGGCGGAATCAAACCTGGACTGTTTCCTGCTCCTTGTATTTCTAATAAATCTCTTTGACTCTTTCCCAGCAGTACATTTGTTTTCATTGTAACACATTCTGTTATCAGGCAGAATAAAAAAAAGTGAAACAAGAACGCTTTTTTTTCTTTTTTCCATAACTGGAATGCTGCATTTTGGTTCTTCCCTCCCCGCTTTAACATCCTTTGAGTCCTCTTTGCTGTTGTTATAGGAAGGACCCTTGTGATTCCTGAGATTCCAGCATGAAAAACACAGAAATATTTTTTCTCCAGGACTCTGAGTTATCAGTATGTATATATTAAAAACATGCCACTGTTGTTTTAACACTGCCGGGGAAGACGAGGGGCTGTGCTGCCAAATAAACATGCAGAAGATATAAGATGGGTCAGCCAGCGTGCCGGTTTGACGTCGCACAAAGGCTTAAACAGCAACACAAGAACGATGCTGCATCAGGAGTGTGGGCGATCTGCTAATCTGACGCCTTTGAAGGGCTGGCATGCTGGGCCTGCGCTTTGCAGCGCCACAAGTTTGCATGAAGCAAAGCTGCTTTTCTCACGGTAGTTAAAATTTAATACCAACTCTCTCTCCCTGCAAATATTAGCCAACATAAACACGTTACAACTCAGCATCATGAAAGCCTCGGCCCTTTAAAATTTAACTCGATACTTTGGTTCAGACCACCCTTAAAAGTGCTGGGCCTGGTCAGCTGCAGGCTGTCTGTCAGCGGGATGCTGAGTGAAGCAGGGCATCATGGGACGTCTAATGTCCACGTTTCATTCGCACGAAAACATCACAGAATCCTTTTTCAGTTTATAAAAGTAAAGAGATTTGCACCGAATCTTCAGCAAGTGCTGCAAACTGCTGAAAAATACAGAAATCTAAAGTTTAAAAACTCAGATGTCCACTATCTTACGGAGAAGGGACACTGTTTTTTTAGCACCTTATCAAATCTAATTAGCCAGGCTAATAGCTAAAAATATTTCAAAGATTTAGTTCAAACAGGGGGTCATCTGTTTAAATCAATCAACATAAATGAAGCTGAACTTATTAAATTTCATTCCACTTTGTAGGAACTTGAAAAGAAGCTGAGCAGCAGAAGATWTGAACTATTGGCTGATATCAGTTCCACCACATCAAAGCAATCACTGGAAAACCGATTTTTACGCCAAATCTGTTCTGCTGATAAAAAAAAWWAAAAAAYAAAACAACAAACAKTGTGAGTTAGAACTGAGAATCTAATGATAATCCTCACACAATAAATAAAGAGAGGGAGATAAAAGATTGAAAAATAAATTCTCAGAGCCAGATCTAAACTGAAACCAGCTGTCAGACTCCAGTCTTCGTTGTTTAGTTTTCAGCTCATAGCTAACACCTGCTACCAATTAAAGCTAATATTTG